TTTAGATCCCCCACTGGCCAGAGAGTTGAGCTTCATGGTCTAAATAGCCCCTTCCAACTCTATTTTTCTATCCTTTGCACAGGTTCTGGCTGCCACTTTAAGTCCTTTGCTTTCTGCTTCTTCTGCTCTCTTATAGTCAGACAGGAAACAGACCAAACAGCAGGAGTCTCTCTAGTCCCACTTCTGCATTGGTTCTTTTCATTCACCCGTATGTGCACAGCCTGTCTTTTATAGTTTCCTAAGAGGATGTTGTTTCTGCTTTAACAGAAAGGTAAAGCGATTTCCCAGTGAGGTTTGTTTTTCAGGTTTTTCTTAGACACATTCAGAACTAAAACAAAGAGGTAAATTACTATTTTATATCTTAAATGCATTTAGCCATGGGTTGTCTTTCTGAGCCTCCTAGTAACTGGAATACTGCTATCAACACCATTCAATGATGTAAATACTTTTCTTCCTCTCCTTTAAAAAAAGAAGAATCTGCGCCTTTCGCACACCTGTATGGAAAGTTCTTCACTGAAATCCTTTAGTATTTTGTCAAAAACCTGTACTTGTCACTTTTCCATGGTTTCATGTCCGCAGGAATCAGTTTGCATTGCCCTATGGATGCCATCCCCATACTAAAACCATTGAGATTTCTGGATGAAGTATGTCTCAATAAGAGAAACAAACAAACAAACAAGCCACATCCAGACAGCTTTCCCAGCCTGCCCCCTTAGCTCAATCCTGTAGGAGAGGTAGTAGCAGAACCATTCCTTTCTTGAATTTTATATCCATAGAACAAAGAATAATAGGTTGGAAGAGACCTTAGAGGTCTTCTAGTCCAACCCTGCTCAAGCAGGAGACCCTATACCCGTGATGGCGAACCTATGGCATGAGTGACACAGGTGGCACACAGCACCCTGTCGGCATGTGAGCCATCACCCCTGTTCAGCTCCAACGCGCATGCATGTGTGCCTCCCAGCTAGTCATCGGGTCTCTGCCGTGCATGCACGGGGGCGGGGCAGAGGGGGCACGTGTGCATGCATGGGGGGTGGGGCTGCGCATGTGTGAAGGCGGGGCACATGGGGGCGTGCACGCGCATGCACAGGAGTGGTGGGTCGTGTGCAGGGAGTGCGCGTCTATTGCATTTTGGGGGTTCAGGCATGCACGCATTGGGCACTCAGTCCAGAAAAGGTTAGCCATCACTGCCCTGTACTATTCTGGATAAATGGCTGTCCAGTCTCTTCTTGAAAATCTCCAGTGATGGAGCATCCACAATTTCTGCAGGCAAGCCATTCCATTGATTGTTTTCTCTATCAGGAAATTTCTCCTTAGTTCTAGGTTGGATCTCTCTTTAATGAACTTTTCTACCTGTTACATTTTCTTCTGCTTTAGGTGCTTTGAAGAATAAGTTGACACCCCAACCCCCATTCTATGTGACAGCCTCTCAGGTAATACTGGAAGACTGCTCTCATATCATCCCTAGTCCTTCTCTTCATTAGACTACATACCTAGTTCCCTCAATCGTTCATTGTACAGTTTAGCCTTCAGACCTCTTATCATTTTTGTTGCTCTTCTCTGCACTCTTTCTTAAACTGAGTAATTTCGGGATAATAGAGCAATTTTTAATTGCTTCTTTGTGGGTCAATGGCCAGTTTGGGAATGCCAATTTAGAGACACTTATATCAAACAACAAAAACTGGGTTTTTTGTGAAGGTAATGATCTAGGAAGGGATAATTGCATTAATCAGTTTAAGAACTACTTCTCCAAACATTGCAAAGATGAATTGCACATAGAATACTTTGCAAACAGTTTTTGTAACTGGTTTTTGAGCCGTGTGGTGCAGTACTGCAGGCTAGACTAGACTATGGTCACTCCAGGAGTTCAATTCTGAACAGCTCAAGGTTGACTCAGCCTTCCATCCTTCTGAGATGGGTAAAATGAGGACCAAGATTGTTGGGGGCAATATGCTGACTCTGTAAACCATTTAGAGAGGGCTGTAAAGCACTATGAAGCGGTATATAGGTCTAAATGCTATTGCTACTGCTCTTTTCCTTTATTTATTTACCATCCTGGTAAATTGGTAATTTTTAGCGTTTAGCAAACTCTAAAAATATTTGTTTTAAAATTAAAAATAAAATATTTAAAAGCCTGATTTAATGGGGGTTTTAGAGCCATAATACATAAACATCAGTTGTGGAGGATGAACTGCTGTCAGTGAAAATGGATGTAGGAAAGGTGATAGAACAAAAGGAGAATTTTTGCCAATTGAAAACTATCTCCAAATTCCATTGTTTCCATTAGTGCTGGAAAACTTTACAATGGTCCTCAACTTATGACCATAATTATATTCCAAGATAGTGGTGCGCATAGACGCTGTGGCTTTGAGCTCCTGGTGTTACAGTGGAGTGTGTAGGCAAAAACTAGTCTATGCCTGCGGGAAGTTACTAAAGATTGGATCTTCTAATTGACTAGATATTACCAGTGACTTCCAGCGGTCTCATAATATACCAAGTGGCATAGTAAGACTGCCGGGCCCTCCATGGATCGTTGTTGGGCCTAGGAGGTGGAGAAGAGAGCGAAAGCAGAGGTGGGGATGGAGAGCTTTGCTATCTCGGTTACAGAAGCAGCCTCACAGACCAGCATTACCAAGCATTATACTTTATACTATTTATGTTGTTTGTATTTTTTGTCATGGATTGCACCAGTAAGGCTAAAACCAATTTCGTTGTATACATGATGTACAATGACAATAAAGGCTATACTAATTGAGGTCGGAATATTAGTTGTAAGTCATTGCAGTCATAAATCAAGTAAACACATGATTGGACTCAATTTTATGTTTTGGCCAAGCTCATTAAGAGTCGTTGCAATCATTAAGCAAATCATGTGGTTGTCAAGTGAATCACATGGTCATAAGTCCGAATCCAGTTTAGCCAATGGCCATTTTTTGCTGGAAAATAAAAAAACAGGTCACAAAATGAGAACACATGACCACAGAACACCGTAGCCATTGTAAATGCAAGTTGGTTGCAAAGCAGCCAAAATGCAATCACATGACCTCAGGGGTAGTTTGGCAGTCCTAACATCAAGGAGAATTTGCAAGTAACATTTTTCAAATCCATCAGAACTTTGTATGGTCATTAAGTGATCAGTTGTAATCAGGGGTAAAATCCAGCAGGTTCTGACAGGTTCTGGAGAACCGGTAGCGGAAATTTTGAGTAGTTTGGAGAACCGGCAAATACCACCTCTGGCTGGTCCCAGAGTGGGATGGGAATGGAGGTTTTGCAATATCCTTCTCCCGGAGTGGGGAAGGAATGGGAATTTTGCAGTATCCTTCCCTGGAGTGGGGTGGGAATGGAGATTTTGCAGTATCCTTCCCTGCCACGCCCACCAAGCCACACCATGCCCACCAAGCCATGCCCACAGAACCGGTAGTAAAAAAATTTGAATTTCACCACTGGTTGTAATCCAAGGACTACCTGTATTTACTCTAATTCCTTCTGTGCCAAAGCTGAGATAGAAATTAACCAATTTAGCTGCTGAAGAATAACACGGAGCACCACCTCGATCTTGAAGCAGTGCCAAGCGACTCCATGGCAGTGTCCTGAGCTTGTAATTCAGCCCAACCTTGTGTGATCAATGCTTCTCCTCTTGGACAATAAGCAAGTCGATGGCGCTGTAATGAATAATAGCTCCACCGGGACCCTCAGGGCACCAAAGCAGTGAGATTTCTGGAATGAGATCTTTCCACTATTGCAATACTGAAGTTACAAAACTAAGCTTTTGTAATCGGTGGAGCAAAAGTCAATGATGACATGAGGATAAAGAAATAAAATCTCATTTAAGTAAAATTCAACCCCTAATAACAAGCATCCACTTCGATTATATGATCTTAGCAACAGTATGGAAGTAATTAACTATTTCCTTTGTGCAGTCTAGTCTACAGCCCTGACATTTTCTGAAGTTCTCCCACCCAAGAACTAACCATAATTTGATTACCAGGTGCTTCCCCAATCACCAGTTCAGTTTTCCAGATGTTTCTGGGTATAGTCATTGTGGCCCAGCTGGACTACCGATTTTCAAGAGGTGTTTGACATTTTCATCATTTTTTTTTTCAGCAAAGGTAACCAGATATTGCAGGCCCATCCTTGATATTTAGACAAAGCAGCCCACTTCATCCGTATCTATCACCTTCATACCATCCATTAAATACTAAATCCAATCCATTATTTTTACCCACTGGCTATTCTATCTGGGTTTGTACTTTTATTTATATTGTTTTCTCACTAGTCCTGAACTGATTCTTTCTTCCATTATCTGTTTCCTGAAGCATTCATCCACCACCCACGTTGAATTAAACAAAATGCCTCTGTAGGAATATGCCTAGTGATTGCATTAAATGTGGGACAAGAGGCAATTATTGCAACTACCTTTACCGGACTTTCATTGTAAATAAAATAAAAGCTGTTTTCTGTCTTTTTTTTTTTTTTGAAGGGGGGAACAACTCCAGGCATGGTTTCAAATGCCTGGTGAAGCCTTCAGCCCAGAAAAAGGCAGCAGTCCCACCTTTGTAATTCAATATATTGACACCACAAGTATCCTGTCAGTCAGTATATAAGCATATTGACAGCCCAAAGTACGGCAAGGCCAAAAATTTGCTCATAAGTGGGCAAAAGGAAAAAAAATATTAGAAAAAAAGTCAGAACTGGGTGGGGAAAGTTTTGCTTCCCCCCCCCCCATTCCTTTTGAATTCCCACCACCACCAAGAAATTGGATAGCTATTGCTGAGATTCTTGAATCGCTCCGTTTGCAGGCAGCCCTGCAAAGCATTAAAGTTCTCGCACTAGGCAGGGAAACACACACACACACACCCCTCTCCCTTGACAAAAAGAAAAGAAAAAAAAAAGGGCGATATTAATATCTGGGCAAAAAGTGACACGCACCAATTCGCAACTCCTCTTTCGGCGGCCCGGCCAGCAATCAGAGCTCCCATGAAGGCAGGAACCTCCCCTCAACCATCTGCCCGCCTCAGGCCGCGACCGACCAGCCAGCGCACCCTTCCCCCCCCCCTCCCCAACAACCCGGGATCATAAAGTGAGAGAACAAACCCGTCCTAAAAAGGTTTAACCCTTTCTCCTTTGCCTCCCCTCCAACCCAGAAGCTACTTCTCCCCCCACCCCTCTCCTCCAACCACCCCTCCCCGTCCCCCAGCCCGGCGACGGAGCTCCCCAACTCTCGCCCGGGGCAGGCAGCCACGGCAAGGAGAAGAGGCGGCGGCGGTGGCGGCGGTAACGGGCACCGCGGCTGTGACAAGTAAAGCGCCCGCAACACGGCCAAGCAGGCTGGGGGGCGCAGCCGGGGGCGTAGCTGTTTTGTCCCAGAGCTCCATGCACCGTGGCGAAGACGCGGCGCCAAGAAGGCAGGGCGCAAGTCCAAGCCCAAGCCCGTCTCCCCGCGCCTGGCTGCAAACGGAGGTAGGGCGCATTGTGGGGGGTTTTGGTGTTATTTTTGGGGTGGGGGGGTCGAGGAGGGAGTGCAAGAGTGGAATATTGTGAGGTCTTTTTCGTTGTTTTATGCGACCCGCGTGGTGAAAATCCCCACCGATGCTGGGGTGGAAAGCGAGGCGTGCCCGCGTTTCCTTCTCCACCAAGTTGCGGCGGCTGTGTATTTGAGTCCCCCCCGCCCTAGGATATGAGCTCCGGGCGAGTTTTTTTTTTGTTTGTTTGTTTTCCCCCTTTGAAGGAACCGGAGAAGTGGCCGCCTTTTTCTTTTTTTTTTTAAACACTCTTCGCTCAGGTAGAAGAAGGAACGGCAGGCGCCTGTTGCGCGCCAACTTCTGGGAAGTTTCCCCGAGGCTTGAAAAATCCAGGGTAGGATTCGCTTCCTCGGGCAATGGGAAGTTGGAGAGGCGAAGCGGGTGCGGGGAGAAGGGAGGGCTGGAGTGGGGGAAAAAAATGTCCCGGTGCGGGAATCGGTAGCAAAATAAAACCCAAAAAGCGGTCTGGTTTCTAACTTTTATGGACGAAAGGCTGGTTCTGTTCACGCAAGGGAATGGATGTTTCTGGAGGGTTGCCTGAGCGGTAGCCCAGCTGTTTTCCATCTGTGGGAGCTAAAAGGAGAACTTTGTGACACCTTAAAAAGAAGAAGGGGAAAAGAAAAAAGAAGACCGAAGCAATTCTTCCAAGGGTTTGTGTGGATGGAGGTCCAGCTGGATTTAGTCGGCCAGATTAGAGGCGTGTTTAAGTGGCCGCCGAATTCTCTCTCTGGCCTTTTCTAGTGGAGGCATTTCCTTTGGCGAGCACTGGAGAGACTGGAAGCCAGAGAGCTGAAAGGCAGGCAGACAAGCGAGCTAGCGAGCAGGACGGCTGCAGCAAAATGTGAACGCATAAACCCAAAGTGGTATTTTTTTAACGTGATTTTTTTTTATTAAAAGGCAGTTGCCTTTGGGAGGGTTGCTAAAGTCAGTAACGTGCTTTGGAAAGATCCCCGCAATTTGAAACAAAACTTTCTGACAGTCTTTGACAAACCACCGGCTATTCTGTGTGCTACAGGTGGAGTTGTTCTTGTCCTTAACATTGAAGATATCCTTGTCAACAACTTCATATTAAGTTCGCCCTGTTCATTTTTTTCTCCCAAATACTGAACTACAATCGCCGGTTATTTTAAGTTTTCCCCTCTGAAAGGTTTGAAAGATCCATTCAGACAGAACATTTAAATTTTTCAAGGATGGGTTAAGATTGCAGGCGGCCCCTTAATCCTGTTGGGGTTTGTTGGGAAACAAAGATGCACAATTTTTATGGATGCTGCCTGCTGAATTTCAATGGTATTTCTTTCCCAGTATAGTTTTGCAAACTTAAAATAGGTAATTCATAATAACATCTTTAACAATTTTGCTCATAATGTCAGAATGATTCAGATATTCTCCACTGCTGGTGTAAAAGGTTCTATACTGCGTATTTTAGCTTTAGCTAGAATTACATCATTGTATGTTAAACTACTCTTTAGCCAGCATCTTTGAGGTGCTGCCATTATGACTAAAATCCCATATTTAATTTTCTGGGAGGAACCTTCAGTGTAACCTGTCTTTGAGTAAGATATACATGGGATTGCCTGCACGTTGTCCAGGTTTACATAATGATGTTAAAGCTAGCAAATAAATATAAATACAATTGATGAATTCTTCACACTTAGTTTTGATTACTGTACATACCTGCCCATTTTTTTATATTGGTAAATGTAAGGATGATTCAGTTAATTACTATGACACATTTTTATTTTAAAATAAGGCTCTGCAATCTCTGAATTTGTCTTATTGAGCTTATTGGAACATATTTCTAACAATTCAGTTGTGCTGTGCATCTTACTTAACTCCTGGCTAAGCATGTGCAGACTGAAGGGAACATGGATTAAAGCAGCAGTTTTAAATTATTCCACCCACCCGGCTTCCATTAATGGGAGGCAGACCTGGGACCCTGTTACCAGCAGTAGGCTTCATATTTATCTACTTTTAAGATAAGTGTTCTTTTCTTGTGCTTTGAGTGTAGCAGAGAGAAAAAATGGCCAGGACTGCTCTGATTCATAGACATGCAATTGTAATATGTGGTTTTTATGAAGATTGTTCATAGCCTTAATTTACTACTATATATCTATGAGTAGTGTTCAACTGCTGCTTTCCCTTTTCTGAGTTACAAAAAGAATAATGTTTGATCTGGTCTGCCTTTCTTAGATGGGAAAGTAAGGTATAGCAATACTTCTGATATTGTCAATCAATTAGTATTTGTGTTATTTTATTAGACTTATTGCCAAGTTTAAGGTTGTTTTGTTTATATCTTGCCTTTATTGTTTTTATAAATAACTCAATGTGGCAAACATACCTAATAGTGCTTCCTCCTCTTGTTTTTCCCACAACAATCCTGTGAGGTGAGTTAGGCTGAGAGAGAATGATTGGCCCAAAGTCACCTAGCTGGCTTTCATGTACAAGTCAGTTTCCTTATTTCCAGCCTGACATCTTGAGGGGTGGGGAGAGAATTTTTATAATTTCATTTGTATAATGATAATAAAAAAACATGACTGTATTTGCACAATATATTACTAACTCATTTGGGAGGGGGGGTGTATAACACCTATAAACTAACCAAATGAGTTAAAACTAACCAAGATCCTAATGTTGTTCAAATACTTTCACTGGTTTTTTGTGACCTGATAAAATATGCTGTGTGGAAGTAACAATGGACAGATTCCACCATGCTGTTCTCTTATCCTGAGCTTGGCCATCAAGATCTATAATTGGATGGGGTTCATATTTTGTGCTAAATCCAGGTAGAACTCTATTGGTTTGGTATAGTATGAATGCATACATCTCTTTTATTTTGATTTATATTACATGTTTTATGATTTAATATTATACATGAATCCAACTATTGTGACTTATACAATGAACTATACAATGTGTGGTTCCAGTCTATATCAGAATCTTTAGTAGAATTGAGGGACTGCAACTTGCCTTAATGTTCTGCACTATTCTAATTCAATCCCTTTATAGTAGTCTTCCCTAACTTAATGCTCTCCCATGAATTAAACTCCAAGTCCCCTCAACTTCATCCAGGCAGTGTCTAGCTTGGGATGATTGGAAGAGAAAGTGGGGGAAAAACCTCCATATACTCATGAAGAACAGCTAAGTTTAGCTTGAAGAACTTCTAGGCTTCTAGATGTTCCTATACAGTGATTCTCAACAGCCCCAGACTTGATAGACAATAGTGATGTAGGCTGGAAATTATAGTTTAAAAAATTAAAGGGCATAAGCTCCTAGCCTGCACTAAAACAATTTCAATGTTGCAAATCCATTTTGCATCCAGTTTGATACTGAATGCTATCAATTGCTGATGCAGGAGAAAAGGGTGTAAGCAGTTTTGTGTAATTAGATAGTCATTGCATTGCTGGTTGACAACCTCTGATGTTGGCTTTTTAAAAACAGGGGTATCTCCTTTTCATTTTATGGCAGCTAACTTTTTCATGCATTTTATTTCTTGTCTACTTCCAGCTTGGGTGGTGTTATATGACTGATGAATCCCAAATGCAAGAACATTTAAAACAATTGTATCGATGTGCCAAAAGTTTATCCTTGCTGCTTGCTTTGCCCTGGCATTTTAAGCTCTTATGGCTGATGGTCAAACAGATGGCTAAATTTTTATGGGGAGAAACTGCCTCCTGTTGCACTGGCCAGTTCCCATATCACATTCATGTCTGTCCTCTGCATCTAACATTTCTCAGAATAATTTGACGTGTTGTCCTTGATTTAGCATCTTAAATTTCTTTATAGCCCTAACCTGCAATCACCCCTCTTTTCTGGATCATCCTCAAACACAGGTTGTTTTATCCTATTGCGGTTACAGCCTTAGACCTCCCACTTTTTTCTTTCTTTTGTAGTTAAACTGAAATATCACAACCATTTCTTCCACTGGCTATTTTTCCTTAATGCTATGCAGAAATTAGATTTAGCAAATGGAAAGATGGATCTTTCTTTGGAATCTCTGAGCTTTGCCTTTTCCAGTTTGGTTCCTCCCACATGTCCAAAGATTCCAAGTCTGAATTTCCAGCCAACATAGGAATTCATTACTTTAAAGAAAAGGAGAAAAGTTTTAAAGAATAAAAATAAATAGCTTGTCAAGAAAGAAAAAGCCATCCTGTGGCTCAAGTTTCAGTTCGTTTTATTTTATTTTATTTTAGGAAAATGGAATATGTGTATTAAACCGGGTTCTTGAGAAAAAGATAGATAGATTCATCCAATTGAATGTTGGCATTTTGCTGGCAAATTTTGATTGGTTGGTTTAGGAAGGTTCCAGGGATAACAAAAATGGCAGGGGCCATGTACTGCCCATCAATTTTGGATTATCCTCCTACGTATGATTTGGATAACAGTGATAGAGAATAGGCTTCTCCAGTTGGTACTTGCCAGATGTGCTGCATTTCAGTTTATGTTGTTTTCATGTTATCATGGCCATAGGGATGATGGCTGTTGTAATTAAAGACATGTGGAGGATACCCAGTTGGTGAAGAATGTCATAGAGCAGGGCTGTCAAACTTGCGGCCCGCGGGCTAGAAGTGTCATGCACTGGCCATGCCCCCACCCGGTTTAGCAAAGGGGGGAAAAGTCCCGATAGTCACATGATGCTGCCGTGACAACACAAGTTTGACATCCCTATCATAGGGTATTAGAGTCATGGTGCTCTGTTTACACACATAATTACAAGCCCTTAAGACTGAGCTTGAACCTGAGCATACTGAAAACATAGAAGCCAGTGTTTTTCATATTAAATTATCAGTTAATACACTTTCAAGCCAATTTATGTCAGAAGAGTATTTACTCCTAACAATGTTGCCACAAGGAATTTCTTATTTAGGTAGCAGAAGCAAATGATAAACATATGGTAATTCACAGAATATCGCTATGAAAATTGCACCAGAGATGTCTGCA